ATCCAGAAAACTGTTAGGTCAGAGATAAGCCACAATAAATAGCTTAAGTTCTTGATGTCACGAGAAATAGAGGCACATGAGGTCAGAGGTGTACTCTCACTTAATTACCGGAGAATACAATTTCTGTGAATCAGTAGACAGAAGGAAAAAGAGACAGTTACATAGCTCTGTTTTTTCAAATAACTGTATTTCATGTAAAATAGTAAGATTCTTTTTAGTTCAAATATAGAAGAAGTAGTTACTAAACCATATCATGAGTGGCAGTTTGGACAAGAGGCCTCATACAAATGAATCTTTTAACAAGTCACCCTATGAAATGCAGAGAATGCTGTCTTTCATAGTAGCTTCCTTCTGAATGATATTGTTTGATGGAAAAATCACTATACAGTTGGAAAGATGGACGAATGGATGGACAGATGGATGGATGGATATGAGAGCAGGTAGGTAGATTCAATTAGGAGAATAACGAGATTTGGGGGAGAGAATAGTTAACTTCCTGTGGAAATACTGATATTTTCCAATAGTGGAAAGAAATTTGAAAAGATAATTTACATTCTTTAAAGAATATCTAAGGCCAGGCATAGTGGTGCACACCTACAATCCCAGCACTAGGGAGGCTGAGGCAGAAGGATTGCCTCAAGTTTAGGGCCAGCGTGGACTACACAATAAGTTCAAGACCAGCCTGAACTGCATAGTGAGACCCTTTCTCAAAAACATAAAAGAATTTCTAAGGAAATGGAAGAATCAAATAAGACATACATTTCAAAGACTACTTCATGGGAATTAATGGGCAGGGAGAAATTAGTTGTCAGAGATGTAGGAAGTAGGTGCTGAGAGGCATTTAGTAAGTCTTTGTTAACTGTGGGTAAAATATAAATCAAGTTGTGAATTCTGCATCTCAAATAATTATAATACTACAGATATTCTGCTTTCCCCAGTACCATCTATCCTTTCTATATAATGTATATTTAGATATTTTAGAAACAAACAATGTATGTGAAAAATTCAGTTATTCATGTAGTCATTCTAGTGTTTATTGAGTGCCTTGTCTGTATTAAGAAGTGGAGAAATACTGGGAAATTGGCACATTGGAGTTAAACTTCAGTTCTTTCAATCTACCTGACAGTGTGTACTGAAAATATGAAACTAAATCAAGAAACAGGAAAGGAATATAGAGTGAAACAAGATCAAAACTGTCATAACTTTTCCCCTTATTTTATTTGAATATGGGTAGTATTTTTTAATGCTTCAAATTTTTCCAAAAATATCAACTGAATTGATTACTTTCTGAAAATGAGCAATTCTCATATCATCAGAAAGGCTTCCTCAGTATCATATCTCTCAAAGGAAGGAAATGGGAAATTTAGCTTCAAGTCCTGGTTTCATCTTTTTGGACTTTCCCTCCTTCCTACCTTTAAAAACTGAGAGGAATGATTTATTTTATCTCCCAAGTCTCTTTCAGTTATGAAAGTGGTTCTGCAACTTGCCTTAGGTACTTTGAGATAATTTGAACAATTTCAAGAAAATCTGGGGTCCTATTGACAGAATTTGTAGCATACAAAATTACAGAACACAACTTGCAAACAGTTGCTGCTCATTACAGCTGATATGCTATAAATGGTTGTTGGCACTGAGACCAGATGTCATGGAAAATCCTGCATCATTAGGAAGCAATGGGGTGGGGAAGAACCTATGTGTGAGAATGTTAGTAGAATCTATTTAAGAACCAACCTAAAACTGTTTGCATTGTAGGAATTTAGAGATAATCTCAACAGACAAAGACTAGCATAATGGATTGCATTGAAGTTAGTTAGCTTCATTAATCATGACACTTTTCAGTTTTGACCACTTCTTCCAAATATTAAATGTTCTACACATTGAAATAGCCATGGACCCTGGAGTGTCATAGTGAAGTAGCCTTCTAAGTTCATTTGAGAATAGAACTAATTATTAGTTCCAGAGATCTGTGCATTGCCCCAGCCTATATTCTCAGAATCAGGATATGAACCAAGATTCTCACCTTTTTTTCTAAATCATCATGTTGCTGCCTGGTCAGTTGTAGCTGTATTAGAAGATTCATGCTTTTAAACATACATTCTCATTCATGCTAGAAAATGAAAATGAGGAGATAGTAGCAAATAAACAAGTGATGCTCCTTTCTAAGAAGGCATCCACAGACCAGGTGAGAGCCTCTGCTTTTTCCCACTTTGGTGGAATGTAACCACAGATGATCTCTTTCTATAGGCAACTAAAACCCAAACTCGTCTACTTGGCATGAACTTTTGTCATACAACATATATTCGAGTCAGAGGCAATTTGGGTGTTAATGAGTGAAGAAAATCAGGATAAATGTGCCTGTCCTGGTTAATATGTTTCCTTAGAAATTCTTAGTGATAAATCCTTTTATCTCTCACAGAACATGAGGACAAGGTTATTCAAACCAGTATATTCCAAAGAGTTATATAGAAATCAAATTTGCATGGTATTTTAATGTTTCATCTGGCTCCTTAAAGTAATCTTTGATGAAACATTATAAAGCAAATAATCCTTTAATAACATCCAGGTTTTCAGCCAGCATTCCATCATTCTGTATTTTCAGTTTGCCCAAAAGCAGTAACTAAGTGTGAAGCCATTGCAATACTATTCATTTTTAATCTCCTCTCAGGAGCCCTATTTTTCCTATCCATAACTGCAGCTGAACAGTCTTCATGGGTCTAAGGTGAAACACTGATCCAGATAGGTTTATTCTTTTCCTGAATGACTCATGAGGCCCTAAAGTGAGATGCCCTAGGTCATCTCTAGTTTTGAATGTTCGCCCTAGTCATGCTGAAGTCAGGTGTGATAAAACTCCAAGGCTTTCCATTTCTTCTGAATTGACAAACATGATATCTCAGAGCTAAATACATAAAGCACTGCCCCAAAGCTTTTCCATTTAGTGATGAGTAAAAGCATATTAAATTTTTAAAAAGTCTGTTCACTAATGAGAATGGCTTTTGCTCAGTACCACTTGACTTAAAAGTCCTAAAATGGCTGTGATATTTTAAGTGATTAGAAATCTTTCCTTGAATGAATCTGTGGCTGACAAATTAGGTCAGATGTACATTTAGTGGACCTCTCTGATGTTTTTATGCATTTGAATCTGAAGATCACCAAAAAATAGAATCAACTATTTCTTATGGCTTGATGTAGTTTGTCCAAGTTACTTATTTCATAAAATAACAGCTATAAATTAATTAAATTAGAAAAGGCATGAATATAGCAGACTTTATATTTCAGTTGTGAAAGTAAAGTGTCAAATATGAAAAAATTAACATGATTAGATACTTAGTATACTGACAATCAGAGTTCAAATAATTTCAAACGTTAGGCTTTACTGAAAGATGCTTCAGCATGAAGATTTTTCATATTCCTGAGACATCTTCATCCTCAAATCTAAATTAATTTATACATTTTGTGTAGATATAGTTCAAAACCGAAAGTTTCAAAGATTTCCTCACATCTGCAGTTGTCACAATAGCAATGAATCTGATGGCAGTGAGCAGCAGTGGCCTGAAGAGGTCTGGTATTTGATTAAAATTTACTTGCCCATATTCCAATTTCTTATAGATTTAACACAATTTCTTTCAAGTTATGGCTATGGGTTTTTTGCTATTTTGCATGGCTGGCTTAATTAATGAATTAAATAATGGATTTGGCTGTGTTTACATAAGGTCAAAACAACCAACAGAATTGATTAATTTGGTAAGAAGAGGAAATGAAAGTAGCCAATTCGATGAAAAAAATGTAAAATTTCTTATTTGACAACATATAAACAAAATCAACTTGACTGACTGAAATTTTGGAATTTCAGACAATAGTTTTTGGCACTTGTACAGCCCATTGTTTCCCAACATTTTTCATCCCTGGAACCCAGAATCCAAATTCTCTGGTTCTTATCCCAAGTAGGAAGCCTTTAAGGCACTCTCCCATGTGTTTACCAATCCAGCCATGTATTCATTCAAATAGTTGGGTTGTGTAGACTTCACTGTGTATTTTAATTAGCCTCCTTTTCCTAGACATTTTGTCCTCATTTCTTCAAATCCACACAGAGGATCCAGTGGAATTGAATTTTTCCTGTTGTTGATTTTCACCGTACCACTGTGTTTTGATGCTCTGGTTTGGGAAACAGTGGTGTAGACACAGCCTTATTCCAGAACTGAATTATCAGTCCCTAAGTGATGATAAATACGCAAGAAAATAAAACTTATCTTTCTCGAATATATATATACATATATATATATATGCGTATATATGTGTGTGTTTATCTATATATAAAAGTTTGAATCACACTTTAAAGAAATGTAAATTATGTGTTTAAAACTGGCTTGTAAAGAAAAAAGCTAACTATAACATTTGGCAAATAGTAGTTACTCTTTCTGTCTTTAAGAATAAACATTCTTAAAGAGAGCAATTTTAATATATCATTCAGAGTAAGTCCAGAATTGGTACAGAAATTGTTTGGAAACACTGAGATATCTAAATCACTCCATTTGGGTCCAAACTCTTAAAAGTCAACTCGAATTTAATTTGTGGAGTTCCATTTGCCAAATGTCTGCAGACTGGTCCAAGTCTTCTTATCACTCTGCCAAACTGCCTTCTGCTGAAGATGTCTGTGCTGCGTTAGGCCTCTAAGTCAGTGTCTGTGGCTGTGCTGCACCTCGAGGGGTCCCTGGAAACATGGGAGCCCGTTAGACAGGTGCTGTCATCCCTTTCCCCTTTCTCTCCACCCACTACCTCCCCCTACACTTCCGCATCTGTCTGAAGCCTGCACATTTGGTAATTTGTAATCATTTATAACCATATTTTCCCTGGGATTTAGGAATGGCAGGCTCCTCGAGACACAACAATGCATGTTTCCCAACCCCCACCCCATTCCTGATGTTGTAAAACTGTTGTTAGTTTCAAGTAGTCATTTTAAATTGGTTCTCACTTCAATCTCTTTTATTTCTTTCTCAATAAAGCCTGAGAATTTGCTTTTAGCTAGCAAATCTAAGGGAGCAGCTGTGAAACTGGCCGACTTTGGTTTAGCCATAGAAGTTCAAGGTGACCAGCAGGCGTGGTTTGGTGAGTAGTGTGACTCTCCTTCATGTTCCCTGGGTCTTCTGCTTTCTAACCTGTGTTTTAAAATTGCACTTTCTAGCCAAAATCAAGTGGAAATGTTCAAAATATTCATTCCAGAAACCCACAGCTTCATGCACGCTAGTCAAGTGCTCTACCACTGAACTACACCACCAGCTCTGACACAGCAACATCTTGACTAACTATGAGATATTGGACTTTCATGATATTTTACCTGGCATTTAATTTCTGTGTAACTTAGAAATAATTTCAAGGAAAGCATTAATGGGAGAACATTAATTTTTTTTCCATAAGCGATGGATGAGAAACTCAATCTTGTTATACTAAGAATTCATAGTAGGATTACAATCCAACAATACTTTTTCATTTGGGAGGAAGTTGATTGTTCACATAAACCTTCACATGATGTTAAGCAGCACTTATGTAAATAGGTACTCAGAAATACAAAATATTTCACATATTTTGTTATTAATGCATTAAAGATTTTTAAAAATTCTGTCATATATTTAAATGTGCTTCATCAACTTGTCAAGGTGCCAATTTTCTCACCAAAATTGTAATTATTTTGAAATTATGATGAGGAGGGTAGAACCCAGCAGGATCTGTCTTTTCACATGCTTCCTGACTTCACTGATTGCATCTGACCCTCCCTTGGGCATGGATCAGGGCCCTGTCTGGATCATGGGCCTCACAATCTACTGTCAGACACAGTAGGCCAAAGGGTCTGTTAATGCCAGCTCTTAAAAAGGAAGAGGGTTGGAATAATATTTCTAGGTTGTATGGTTGGCTTTGGAAGAGAGGGTTTTTAGTTTTTTGTGATTCACCTAGGCCAAGAAGAATTCTACTTTCTGTGGCTGTCCATGGGTGAGGGAATGCAGCAGGAGACAGAAGCACAGGAACAGATCATTGTGTTCAGCAGGCCAAGAGACCCTCCTTGAGAATATTGTATTCTGGGCCCCTCCATTTACATAAAGGAAAAAATCAACTCTAAACAAATTTGAATTCTAGCATTTCTACCTAGGTGTGTGATTATTCCAACCTCATAAATTATTTTATCTATTCACTTTTTTTTCTCTCTCTGCTGTTTCTCAGTATTAACCTATTTTTTTCATATAGAGTTCTAAAATATAAACTTTTGCTGTACCTGTCTTAATTTTCTCTTAATTTTCAACAAGTTAAGGTTAATTTTTAAGTGTCCTTTCTTCTAATTTATTTTCCTCTGAACAAGAACAACAAATATAAAGAGGACCCAAAAAGTTCCTGCTTCTTTTATTGTATGTGCAAATGCTTTTTTGTATCCCTACTATACATATCTCCTAAGATGTACATGGAGCTCCCAGGAGCCACCATATCTTTCTAACCTGTCCAGCTAGTTAATGGGAGCAGGTGGCCTGGCAGCCTCCCACAATCCTTTGCCAGCAGCCTAAATCATAATCTTGATGTCTACTACCTGTCCTTTGTTAGTAGTCCTAACAGTTAACAGTATTGGCAATTGCTACCTTTTAACTAAGTCCCTCTTACTAAAACTCCCCCACTGAAGAATTTACTACCTCCAAATTTGTCATTTTGTTTGTCATATTTTCACATTGGGTTAAGCTTATTCTAGTTAACTGCAAACCAAAAGGTGGTAAGACCTAGATTTAGTTCTATAAACTGGATAGTCAGATATAGCTCTTTATCCTGGGGAAGAGGATACCTGAAATAAATAAAGAAAATTCAGGAACAAGTTAGGGGTACAACCAAAAGTAGCAAGGCTATCATAGAGAGAGCAAGTTACTGAAGGTACTGTATTAAGTGAGAGGCCCTGTCCTGACTACTACTTGGGGTGGTAATAAAGACATGCAAATAAGTATCCAAGAGGTACTCTAGAACACAAAGGGAGAAGTATGAAATTCTGCCTCTGTAAAGATAAGTAAATGGGGCAATGCCTATGGTTGCCTAAGAGATGAATAAAAAATTGTCCATTCATGTATGAGGAAAGACATTCCAGACAGAGGAATCAGTTTATGCAAAGACTTGGAGGATTCTAATCCTATCTAGACCAAAGTAGGACTACTTTGTGAGAGACTTGTGGTATGAGACAGGATGTTGAAATAAGGACTTAGACCCAGAGATAGAATTCTCAGAACTCAGTACAAAATTATGATGATTGAAAAAGAAATAACACAAAAGCCTTTAATCATTAGAGCTATGCTCAGATTAACCCCAGCAACACTGGCTTGATGATGACAAGCCCATTGAAACTGCACTCCCTAAATAACTCCTATTTTGAGTTCTGTGTTTCTCTGTTAGCTCACATATTATTTGAGAAAACTACATATAGCTGGATAAGTTGTCCTGTTTTTAATTAGAAATACCTGAATTTGTGTCCCAGCTCCTTTACTATCTGAATGATATTGCAGTCATTTAATTCTGTGCAATCAGCATCTTCTTTCTAAATGAAAGCACTGTTATGTGCTCCTTCACAGCACTGTTACGTACTCGGTGAAGTAGTCCAGAGAGTCATAAGTAGGCCATAAATTATGTTCAGAAAATTTTCAAAACCATAGTGGTGTAAAGCACAGGGTCACTGTTCCTTACTTATTCAGTGAAAGTGTTTTTATAGTGAATTGGTGTATGGAGAATTCAGTATCAGGTTAATGAAAGCAGTGACATCCCAAAAGAGTACACAGATTTTCAAATTGTGATAATTCATTTCTCCCCGAAAGACACCAATAGATCAATAGATAAACAATAATGTACCCATATCTTCATCTGTATGGTGCCTTCCACAGGCTTTTGGTAAGGAACCCACAGAGGTGTGACTTAAAAGAGATGCATCTCAAGTTCTTAGAAAATTTAGGATTTCAGAACTGTAGAAGTACAGTTTCTGAGCTTAAGGAAGCACACACACTCCCTGTCTTTCTTAAGGAAGCATACATTCTCCCTATCTCTCCCTCTCCGACTTCCTTTCCCTCTCCCTCTCCTTCTCTCTCTCCCTCTCCAGTTCTAGTAACCAAAAGAAGTATGTGGGTACTTAGTCTGTTTTGGATGTATGTCCAGATGTATTTTAGGGATTAGGAGTAAAAAAGTGTTTGAATAAAAATGACTTATTTTGCTATCTGTACATTGTTATTTGTAATTGTAGGCTCATTTATTTGACTGTTTAATGTTATCTTTTAAGATGAATATCAAGGGCCAAGAATTTAGCTCAGTGGTTCAGTGGCCTGCCTTGCAAGTGCAAGGACCCAAGATCAATCCCCGGTACCAAAAAAAGAAAAAAAAAAAACGATGAATATCAATAGCTAGAGGAGAAAAATCCTTGTTATTTATTTATTCTTTTCCTCATTGGGTTTATGGGTACATTTTAGGTATACAGTACAGTTACATTCATTATTGGGATCTTGTACCTTTACATGACAGGTCTTGGTTCTCATTTTTTCCCCATACCACTGCGGTTGCTTCACCCCCTCTTCCCTTCCCCATTTACAAAAACTTTATTTCCATTTTTTCATTTTCTCATATTTTTTTCTTTTCCCTTATTACCTGTCCCCTGCCCATCCCACTTCCCCTACACCTTTAGCCCTTTACTTCCTATTACACAGTGTCAATTATACCATTACAATCTTATTTACAATTATAGTTTTTCACACCAGAGAACCTATTTGGTATTTACACATGTGTGACTTATGTATTTCACTTAAGAGTTTAATATCAATATGCATCCATTTTCCTATGGATGACTCTAATTTCTCATACTTTATGGCTGAGTAGTATTCCATTTTATAGAAAAACTACATCTTCTTTATCCAGTCTCAAACTAATGGGCAAATGGGCTGCTTCCAAGTTTTAGCTATTACAAACACATACATCACTTTGGTTTGATTCTTTTAATTCTTTTGGAAACATCACCAGCAGAAGCATGTCTGGGTCAAATGGAAGCTATAATCCTAGTTCTTTGAGGTATCTCCATATTGATTTCCATAGGGGTTGCACCAGTCTGCCTGCAAATCAACAATACAGAAGGGTACTTTTCTCCCCACATCCCTGCCAACATTTGTTATTGGTTGATTTCTTGATGGTAGCCATTCTTTCTGGGGTGAGGTGGAATCTCAGTGTTCTTTTCATCTGCATCTGTGAAATGACCAGTGATGTGGAGCATTTTTTCATACGTTTACTTGCAGCTTTTATTGCTTTCTCTGAGAAATGTCTATTCATTTCAGATGCCCATTTTTGAATTGGGTCTTTATATTTGGGGGTGGTTTCAAGTTCTTTATATACTCAAGATAATAGTCCTTGGTCTGAAGATCAGCTGGTAAAAGTTTATTGCCACATTGTAGGTTGACTCTTAGTTCTGTTGATGGTTTCTTTTGCAGTGCAGAAGCTTTTTAATAGGATGAGATCCCAGTTATTGAGTCTTTGTGCTAGTACCTGTACTACTGAGGATTTGTTCATAAAGACTTTTCCTATGACAATGTCGTCAAGAGTTCTGCCTAACATATATTCCAGCAAATTTAGTGTCTCTTTTTTTTTAATATTTAGACCTTTAATCCATTTGGATTTTAGTTTAGTGCCAGGTGAAAGATAAGGGTCCGGTTTTAATCTTTGGTAGCTTAAAATCCAGTTTTCCCAATACCAGTTATTAAAGAGGCTACCTTGACTCCAGTGAGGATGGTTGGCTCCTTTGTCAAAGATGAGGTAGCTGAGTACATCTGCAGTTGTTTCTGTATCTTCCAATCTATTCCACTGATCCTCAGGTCTGTTTCTTTGCCAGTACCATGCTGGTTTTTATCACAGTGGCTTCGTAGTATAGTTTCAAATTACCAATTGTTATAGCTGCTGCCATGTCACTGTTGCCTAGGATGGCTTTTGATATTCTAGATCTCTTCTGTTTCCAAATGAATTTTTGGATTCTTTTCTCTAGTTCTGTGAAATACACTGTTGGAATTTCAATCAGCATTGCATTGACTCTGTACAGCAGTTTTGGTAGTATGGCCATTTTTACT